TAATTAGTTTTTAATGACATTTCTAATGAACTTCACTTGGTGTATTTTTTTCTATAAAATAAAGAAAAAAGTATAAACTTAGTTTAATTCTGTACATTAAACAAATTTATTAAAAAATGTGATATTGTTTAAAATCAACTTTTATTAGTAAAAATTACTTTTTGTCATTTTGACTGTTCATCTTCCCTCTCTCTATTTGTTGTTAATCTACAAAACACATCAGGTTTTTTTTGGTTGAATATATTGACCTACAATATCACTTTTATGTTTTAGTTTTTAATTTATCAAAATTTCGTAAATTAACAAAAAGTATATAATAATTTTATGAGCTTTCAATTTCAAGGGTTTCATAAAGAAAATTTTTATCAGCAAATAAAATTTTGAAATGATTTTTTTGATCCTTAAATGTTTTTATTTGATTTTTTAAATTAAATATATTTTTCCTTACTAAAAAATCATTTTTATTTACAATATAAAACCTTAAGATGTATTAATATTTTCTATATTCTTATCTAAATATAATTTGTCGGATGTCCTGTTATGATATGATAACACATGATTAATAGACTTCTTCCTCATCTTCTGACCAAAAACGACGTTTTGTCTGTTACCAAATCGAAGAGCTAACAGTTCAAATACACCACATCATACTGTACATGTTTTTTGCACAGTTCATTTGGACCAAGGGAAAACAAATGTTACGTCACCACACACACTTCCTTCGATTCGCCAAGCTTTCCATCCTGATACAGTTATAGAGCACATTCACATAACATGACCAGCTCACTACATACCCCACTATACGTCAGGTAACCGGATATACCACTCCGCAGGTAAGTGTCCGCAGTTCCGCAGTGGAACCTTATCGTAATTGTGCTATCAGTATATCCCGGAAGGGCCGACATTTTGATTCCTGTGTTTCTTAACTTGAGCAACTTCCTCCACATCAGACGATGGAGACATTGAAACATATTGTAGGATCCATGTTATACAGATTTAATATCTACAGATGCAAATAAGAATATATGGTATATTAATACGATTACTTAATAAAATCTTAGGTAATATATTATTATTTCCAATCAACTATCAATGGATCCACGAAAATTAAAACTATTGTATTAATAAAACAAATTACAAACTCTCATAAGAGTAACCATTTATCTTGTTAACGCCATTCATTAGGCAACGGCCGAAGCTACACAACACGTTAATATTTAATCGAATCCAGTTCTTATTGTGTAGAAATAAGGTTCAATATCGTTATATAATATTGACAGCAGTAATGTCAGTAATTTGGCTGTTACCGACACAAAAACTGTGTAAATGCTCGACGCCGGTTGCTTAGACTTTAGAACAGTATTCGTGTATTATGACATTTACTTTCACTCGAAGTGCTTTTAGGATTCGGGGCTCATTACAGCTGTGAAGTGATTTGATGACCAACTAACAACTCGCAACTAGCAACTAGCAGGCTTGACGGTAATGTATTCGACTTTCTATACCTTGATAACTATTTGTTATCTTACTTCAACTACAATTTAATAAATATTTTATGCTATAGGTTCAACCGAGCTCATGGCCTACCTCATGGTAGTACGGTTACCTATGTCACCACCCTTGATTAGGGAAGAGGGGGAGTAAAAAAAGGGAAAGAGAAGGAGCAGGAAAAGATGGGAAAAGAGAAAGGGCAACCGTCTCTCTCACTCATTGGACGAAACACAGTCATTAAAGGCTACTTCACGCCGATCTTCTGTGAGAGGGTGGTACTTCCCCGGTCGAGGCAGCCCATGTTCGACCTGTAGTGACTTAACCACCGCTAGGCTCTACTACCTACAATTTATAATTATTGGTATTTTTCTTCTTGCTTCCCTTACAATTTACCTATCAAATACCTAAACCGAATCGTATTGAGTTGACTGCATTCTTAACACTAATACTACTAGTTTAATTATTTGAATAATAATACATATTATTGTTAATTATAAACACTCGTTACATAAACTACTCGTTAGGCACTAACCGTCATTCACAGGTCATTGCTTCGCTAGGGAAATATGTTAATTTAACTAAATAATATATAAGTAATTTCGTCTCGTATGGTTCTTTTTTATTATATTTATCTAAATGAATAAACACATACTAATATTAATAAAGGTTCAATAAGTATTCTCCAGTCTTCCTTTAAGTTTGTTTTCTTCCAAGACTGAACATCTAAACGGTTTTCTATAAAACTATCTTGTTGCGTCACACTACCGCCTGGTGTGTAAACCTGCATCCCCAACTGGCCACTATATATTTATATCAGATATTACATAACATATAATTAACTAAACTAAGGAAATAAAAGCAATAAATGTAACTTTCCATTATTTATTATTAGCTTCTGTCTCTCATAAACTATTTTTATAGTGATTAACTATTCGGTTAGTTATTAATAACTCCAAAGATTATTTATTAATTTTTCATTATGATATAAATCATAAGTTATGCCTCAATTACTTTTCCTTAATTTGAAGCTAATTTTTGAAATATGTTTCATATCAATTTCAAAACAAAAGCGACTCGCAATAAATCAAATGCAACTCACGTCAAAAATATCAGCTTTGTTCAGACGATGACGTTTTATAAATATTTCAATTCTGTAAAAGAATCATTATTTTAAACAAAAGATATAAATTATGTAGTTTTGGCATTTCATTTCAAAACTGTGTTTTGTATATTTTCTTGTACCAGTTTCTGTAGAGTGCCATCTAGTAGACTCGTATGGAAACTATTGTGTTCAACATAACACTTAGTCAGTCAGATTTTTGACAATCTCAACGGGTGGCGCTTCAAAAAAGTTTTCTCTTGTATTATAGAGATGTCGCTATTACTAATAAATTATTAATTTCGTTTATAATTCATACATCCTATATTGTGATTAATAATGATTCGTGGTTATAATAATTATAAGTTTTAACAGGAAATAATTAATTTTGGGACAAGGTAAGTTGAAATGTTGTTTTGTTTAAACAATAAAAGTTACATAATTCCTCAACTACGGCGTCGCTTGATATTTTGTAGCTATTAAATTGTTTAAATATGTTTTATTTTGTTCCCGTTATTTTTTATAAGGATACAAACTTCTTTAGATAATATTATATAAGTTTCATTTAAATGTTCAAAACTTGTTAACTGTTAACAATGACGACGTAATAAATAAAGTTTTTGATTACAAAAAGTGTAAACAACTCCTTCAAATCTGGACCTTTCTTTATTGGATCAAAGCTAAAAGATCTTTCGGGTAACGAGGTCTTATATTTCTGGGAGAAAGTAAATATTATTATGACGAGGAAAATCTAAATTTAAACGCGAGAGACAGCGAAATGGTTGGTGAAATAAAATTCTGTTGAGTTAAATGAGAAAGTAACAGATGAGTAAGTTATAAAATAATTTATGCTCAGTCGAGTGTACGGGCATGGGCCGTGAAGTACTTTGCTGATATACATATATAGTTGTACATACTGTTACATTGTACGAAGTTATTTCATTTTAACTGACGATGCATATGATTTTTTAATCCAAAATAATAATTAAATATGACAGAAAGGATATAAAATCATTCAGAAAATATACTGTCTTAAGATTCAAAAATCATAGCTAGTAATGTAATATTTGTTAGCAAGAAAAGATCTTTTTTTATAACAATGGTTTTTGAGTATTGGAAGAATGTAAGCCTATGAACAAAGAAACTGTGACAATAAAAGAAAATACAATAAAGAAACTTAAAATATGTAACACAAACCCGCATTGGATAAGCGACCGGGGTTAAAAGAACAACGTCTCATTTTTGTGATTGAAGTCTTTGGCTCAGCAATGAAAAGTTCTATAGAATCATTTTATTATTCAAGGATTTATTTCACGAAATATCTTAATATATTTGTAGATAATTTCTGTCTGTTATATGTAATATTCAACATAACATCAAACTCAAAGTAAACTTTGTTGTTTCTACTCGCTTTTTGGACTAATAAACATAATGGTTAGCAAATGACTTCATTTGTTTTACAAACTATATTGTAACTATGTATTCGTCAATGCTCTCTATATATTTAGTACAATTTATATTATCTACGTTTCAGATTATCTTCTTTTTAATATATTGACATATCAAATATGTACTGATCAAAGAACAAAGGATTTATATACCTTATTAATTGAATATATTGTCTAAGTTCATAATGAGATCTAAGATTTTCGCGAGTACTCATTTAATTGAAACTATTTTTTTAAATATTTAATAAAATTCAGACACACACAGCTCGCCTGTCCGTGATTACAGTCAAAATTAAAAAACCGCGTAGTAAATCCGAAAATATTAGTTTCATTTTGTCTTAGTTCATTTTATTCAGTGTGTTAATCCCAATACAAAATAGTCTTTTATTCCTCAATCCTCAATAAGTGTATAATGTTGTTCCTCATCTAACTGATAGGCTCGGGCAAGTATTATTGTTTTAAGTATTTAGAAATCTAAATCGGATGTAGTCGTGAGTGTAAATGGTCATTGTAGTTGAAAGCAATCCCGTGTATGGAGAGTTGAGAGAGAAACGCTATTAAGGCTGGGAGTACAAACCTAATGTTTACCAAAATACTATAGCATTTTGTTAAAAGCTTTTATTACAGAAATGTAAAAGAAAGACGTTTGATATCATTTTACCGTCAATATAAAGAAATGAAACCGTTGTATTGAAACGCGTACATTTCAATTCTTATTCAGTATTCTTATTATTTTATTTAACAAAAATATGTTGTATGCTCTTCTTATAAATTTATTGATAATATTTATTATAAATGTCAGTTGTGTAACAGAATCATAGATTCACTAAAGGAATCAAAAGAAAATATTCTGAAAGTTTATTTTTACGACCCTTCCATATATCTTTAGCCTTAGTTTTAATTGTTTTTTTCACTGACCTGTGAATCTGTAGTCTGTAGTCATTGTTGTGTTATACTTGGTGATGGTAAGACTGTGTCCTCATGATGGTGACGACTCTACTAACAGTTGTGAGTATATACCCTTAGAAAATAGTTTAAAGTGATTTTTTATTATTTTCATGCTGTAATAACATTAACCTTACTTATTTTTTCTGATTATGATGTCGTTTTCTATATTTAATCATAGAAGAGATTTATAATAATTGAAAGATAATTTACTATCTGTTTTAGGCGATTTGTTTCATCGCTAAAACAAGTTCAGTCGAAAATATCTATTCGGACAATGGCTGGAGACCCATATCAAACGAAAAAGTCGATGAATTACGAAGAAATTTCATTAAAACGCCTGCAAACGTACATTTTCCAGCCGAGAGAAATTTTCTCGAATTGCTGGACAATTTGTTAGAAAAAAGAAACGATGTTATAAAAACAACACTAAACAAGGAAACTATCAATGATTATTCCAAAAATGGTCCCAGAGAAATAGAAAATGATAAAAGTGTGGAAAATACTGAAGGTATCTCAATTTTTTATGTTTTATAATAACACTTTATTCTGAGATATACAATAAATAATAAGGCTACTTTGATTCTCTTCTAGGTATTAAAGAGTCTTCTTCTACAATTGACGGGAACTATAATTTCAGACGCGCTAAGAAATTTGTAGCCAGAAAAATATCTGCACTAAATAATGCTCTTATAGAAGACACAGCTCAAGATCAAAAGCAGACTGAAGAATTGTTTTATGAGAAAGAAAATAATACCCCAACAAAAAGACCCAATAACATATACGAAGTGAAAGAAGTCACTGATTCTGATTTATTAACTTCCGATCAAAACCATCAACATCACAGAACATATTTTTATGAACCTTTTAAACTAAAAACTTCTACCAGCAATAATTTCACCAGCAACCTTTTTAGCATCCTTGCAAATTATAATATCAGAACCAGTGATAAACTGCCAAATTATGCTCTATCTCTTAGGCAAAACAGTCGCAATTCGGATAATCACGATTTCATATACGTGTACGTCCCTATAAAAATACCCTTGAGATATAATAACGCTAATCATTTACCCCTGGACCCGCTGCTCGCTGTTTTTCTGTCGAACTATGGTCATTACATACCAGGTCTGTACGGGTATACGAGAGGTTTCAGTAACCTGTACGGTAATCTCGCCTCCAACAACATCCACAATAATAAACCTTTCGGGTCTTACAAACTGTTTTCCGATACAGATAATACCAATTTATAAATGTTTCAGGGAATGTCTAAAATGTTTGCTTTCTCATCACACTACCAAGTCTGTAACATTATTTAGAAAAACGTTTGCTTGTACATATTTTTAAACAGTTTTCGAGAGATATTTTTGCTTATAAATTCGGCTTTCATGTCTCTTTACGAAAACTTGTTTTTGTATTTTAGTTTTGTGTAAAAATAAAAGTTTAAAACCTTTTGTTGGCGTATTTGCGGGTTAGCGTTAACCCGTTCCGAGTTGTTTACGCTCGTTTTACTGAAACAAAGAATAGTTTAATTTGACCCTAAGGAGAATTTAGTTTTACACACTATGAATCTTTTTATTTTAACAGAATAGAATAAATTCTTTTATTTGTGAAGAACATTACTTTTATTTAGAAGTTGTTAATAATAGTAAACAAAATGTTTAATGTCGATTAAAGAATCTCGGAGACTTAATTTGAATTCAACTACAATTATTCTAAATTTAGACGAAAAATCCAAATTTAATTAAACAGTACCAAGATAAATAAGAAAAGCAATAAAGCGTCGATTAAATATCGGATTTATGTGGACCAAGTGAAAGAAATTAGCGGATTGATTAAAGAGTTATTCGTCTCAGTGAATAACAAAAAACTCAATATCCCTCATACCTGTACCTATTCACTATTAGAAATCTAGATATATTAAAAAACTTAATACATACTTAGGATTATATTATAGTACTTCTATAACTCGCTCAAGTTAAACTGACTTCAAATATTATTGAAAAACATTTGCTATTGAGTATGTATTAGAATAATAGTTTATTCTGTTTATAAAATACATACCTACATGTGGTAGTAGAGGCCCGTGAGTTGCGACCTCTCTCTGTACAGAGAACTTATTGGGTGTCCACACTCCGTGTTCAAACTTAACATTTTCTTTTATTTCCTGAATAGTTTTCAATTTAACGAGCGAGACAAACTACTTCATAAAGTTTTTATTGATTATGTCGCGCTGTTCACAGATATTATTAAATCAAGCCAAAGTATGATACTTAATATTTAATATTTGTTTGTATAAATGTATATCTTTAAATAAGGATTCGAAATTTATTAAGAACTTCCAAAGTTGCTTAAAGTTACTAATTAGAAACTTCTTAAGTTAAAGAATTTCCACTGATTGTATTTTGTTGGGGTTTTCAGATATTATAAATATAAGTACATAAGGTATCCTTACTGGAGACATAAATATTTAATAAATATGCAATATATATTAAAAAATATAAGAACAACATGAATATTTGAGTTATTTTATTGGGAACTCTTCAATAGATTTATTTTATAGGATAACGATAAATAAAGAAAAAGAATAAGAAAAGATTGAAAATGCGAAACAATCAAAAATATCTGACAATATAACAAGTGAGTTGGTAAGCGGAGGCAAAAAGAGCAAGAGTCCAGAGTCGACGGCAACTGCATTTTCCGGTCTACTGCAGTGATGTTACAGCTCAAACGATTCTAGACTCCTGTAAATATAGCCAAGACTTACTTTGGCTATACGACTGTTACGTTTATACTATCATTGTATTTTATATATTCCACTTACCTAACATAATTTCTACATTTAACTTCTACACTACAAATTGTTAATAGTCCTTTCTATGGTCCTTAATTTCAATGAGAGTTATTACAGTAATCATTATAACAATAAAGTATATGATAATGTATTATAATTTCAAGTCATTAACATTCCTCGGTATAAATATTCAAGGAGACGACACATAAAAACCCGTATTTCTTTTATCCCTGCCTCTTATTATTTAGTGACGGAAGTTTTCAGTCGTCTGCGGATAAAATCGCTCATAAAATTCAAATTCGACGGTAATTCCTCCCTATTTCTTTTCAACTTCTTTTGGGTCGTTGTAAAAATATTTCACAACGATAATCTCCAAAAATATTAGTCTTCCCTGACATGAATTAAGCAGGAACCGAAAAGTTAGCTGTAAAGAATATCTTTTACTCCTACAAAGACATAACAAACTTCTGGATTTTCCTGTGAGTTTAATACATCAGATTTTAAGATAATTTCGATGAAGTGTTACTTCAACTAGATCGATTATAAATCTGCATTTAATTATAATTTCTCTAATCTCATGCTATAAATAAATATATTAGTTTCCATAACGTTTTTCATTCATAACTTTCACTCGTCATAAATGATAATAGTACCAACTATATTTTTATTTAAAGAAATTTATGTTTTCTAGCTTTGAGTTGAAAATATTCTGACTTTGATAAATCTTTAAAAACAATCAAATATAAGGAAAAGTTTAAAATCCAGTCTGTGTGGTTAATAAAAATGTATAGTTATAAAGGTTTAATAGATTTATACGAGATATTTTTGTGACATTTAAATTAAATAGTTCAAACGATTAAGATTGAACATAAATCTAGAAAATAATTAATAAAACAAAAACTTTAATCGCCACTTTTGTGGATTAACTTGATAAATAAAGTAAGTTGATTTTGAATACGAAAAATACATTCATTGTAAATAACTGTTCCGCTCTATGGCAATAAATGATTTGTCATTATCTTTTGGTAGCTACAGAAGATATATATTTAATTTTTCTACACGAAATAATATGTAGTTACATATATTAGCTTCAATTATGTCGGAACGTCTCACAATCAATAATAAATAAGGCTGTCCCTTCATAAATTCTTATGATTTTCATATATTTTACTATTGCTATAAATGGTGGAATGTTGCCTTTTATTGTGACTTCTTCAATCCTAATTAGCTGAAGAAAGTTTTATAAAATTGGTAACATATAACAGAAGAGAGACACTCATGTAAAAGTATAAAATTATCTTTTAAAACTTAATGTTTTGAAAGAGAAAGAGCGTTCTTCAGCAGGGCTTATATGTTAAATTAAAAGGCTTTCGACACGATCACTTTAGGAAATTCAAAGCAAATTGTGTGAGAGCGTATGATCTTACGTACAAAATTAACTAAGTGAAGATAATGTGATCTGCACAGTAATGCTTTTATCAACGTCTGCTCGATCGACTAATTAATGAATTAATTGCTGGAGCGACGAAATTATCTGCTAAATGTAGGGTCGGCGACACGTTATTAAACATTCTAATATATATAGATGTTACAGAATCTGTGGTTTTATTGGGTCGGGTGTACTCACTATTAAATAACACCAAGTTACCAGAGAACTCTGGATTATGTTAAGAGAGAGTTTAAGCTACATTATATTTAATATTATATGTGACAATATTATAAAGATGATATTCTGAATTTAACTTTACTTTTTAAATGAATTGCTTTTATGCCGCAACGACTAAAATATTAAAAAGTATTATTGACCTGGTACTAAAAATATAAACGGTCTAACACGTTTAAAGTTTATTTGTGAATAATATTTATGAACTGGTAATAAATATAAGGAGAAAGATTGAAGAATGTTTGTAATTATTCTGTTATGGTGTGTTCATTACATAGCCATAAATTCATATAAACCTGGCCAGGCCGTTGGAGGTAGTTTTCATAAATTAATGTTTTGTGGCGAACTGTGCTCAGATACAGCCATCATATATTTTATAGCCACACTGTATCTTGTAGTGAGAGATGTTTCAGCCAGCATTGAACACGGATGTAATTTGTCTCCTAACGTGATCAGGCAATGTGTTTCAATTTAAGTCCATTAACAAGAATTTAATGAAATCTTAGTCCCTCGTCCCAGGTAAACAATAAATTATAGTTTCCCTACCTTAGAATATTAAATAGTTGTGAACTGGTAACTATCAATGGGTGCCTTTTTCACATACATTACCTTTTATGGGCACGTAACTTTTTTTTCAGAGAACATTCGCGTTCAATGTATAGCGTGTTCAAAAGCTTAGTCGTTTCTATCAAAGTAAGCGAGATGTCGGGTTAGTGTGGGGTAGATCTACTATAAAGCGGTGGAATTTTAATTCACCCTCGTTAGGACATGTTTGGGTTCCATCGTTTTATAAAACGGAATAATGGAAGCTGTTATGGAGGAATCGGACGGACGTAAGAATGTTATTAGTGTTTTATTTAGGAGAGGATGAAAAGTTTTAAATTCCTAGAGTTTTTGGCATTCTCGAAGGAGCCGAGGGGGATTCTCTGGAGCCGGTAAATACGTATCCTTGGTATTAAATATTCTGCATTTAATAAACAATGTTCACTTTAATGACCGGTAAATGATTACAGATAGTTATAATTTCAATGTGGATCTTTAATGTTTTATTCTAGTGGGTCGTGCACTCTTCATTGTCATCAAAATCAAATCCAATCAGATTTCAATTACGGAGGATTCGATTAAAAGTTAACTCGCCGTGGTTAAATGTAAATAAGTAACAAACACTAAGAGCAAGGATCAAATGGGTAAAGCGATAAAAAAGGAGAATCTTGCTAATCAGTATTAGACGGTCTGCTGAATTGCGTCAGGCGGTGAGGCCAGGTAACGCATTATAAGCCTTTTACCTCAGGTCACTGGGTAGGAAGTTGCTTGCGTGTTTTGTTACCGATACTTCAGAGTTAAATTTTATTTCTATCCTTATTGTTAGATCAATAAAGTGAATTTTTGTAAACCATCCTATGTCTCTGGTCCCACCTTTTTAACAGTAACTTTTTTTGATGTAAAACTGTTCCTCTGTGTTCTATCAACTTTGTCATTTGGATATTGGAATTTCCTTTTCAATGATATTTATCTTCCCACAGTTTGAGTCAGCACGTATATATTTTATTTAATAGGAATATTATTTCCATTTCAGACTTAAAGCGGCAGTGTGGCCGTGTTACGTTAAATTTCAAATAATTTGATAGGCTTGTGACCTACATCGCCCAATGTCAATCCGAGTAGAGACGGCCGGCAGGAGGAAATTCGTTTCATTTCCGGCAGAAACTGAACGAGACAGAGCTACTATGTTGTGTAATTTTGATCTATATTATACGAGGCTATTTATTTTTTATAGTTGTATACATGTATATGTTGTGTAGTGTAATATAAACCTCATAAGTTATGCGTAAGAACATAAATAGTTGGTATGAAAATGAGTGTTGTAGTTTTTATTAAACTTCACGGTCCCGGCGACAGGCACATCAAGGAGTCAAGATTTATAAGAAGGGGCGGTGAACGCTTTCCTTAACACTGAGCTTAAATTGAGGAATTTGCATTTTTATCGTAATGTTTTGGGCTTTCGAGAAAAAACTTTGCCAACACAACTTTATTTTCTATCCGAATTCGAATTTAACGTAAGAATAACTCACGACATAATCAGAAGTAAATTTTAAATAAGTTCTGATAAAAGTTAAGTCATTAATATTTAATTTTTTAGTTTCAACCTTGGAGTCATTCTTAAAGGGTAACTTCGGACGGAGTCACCCTCGCTTTCTACCATAAGACATTATGTAAAACAAGGATAACTATTAATTGTTCTCGGGACGATTGTTATGCAGTTTATTTGCAATATGTATGGTAATGTTTGAACCTCGGGACAATAAATACAGAAACTTGAGCATGGAACCCCATCAAGAGGGAAGGGGTCCAGATAGTAACGGTAATGGTGAGATACATTTAAAATACGAATCAAATGTACCATGGCTATGAAGACGAGATCAAATTGTACAACCATGCATATATGTATTTATGATGGAATTCAAAACGAAACATATAAATACAAATTAAGAAATTATCTGAACTCATATCAAATGTTATCGGTAGTAGAAATTTTACTTATTGAATATGTTTTACACCCGCTCAGTAAGAATATTTTTTCCTTGTAGCTTAAACTTATGATATGACAACATCTATCGTTACTTTTTTTCTCACAAGTTGACTTTTATTTGAAACTAATATTTTGCGGATTTACTACATACGCGATTTATTTTTGATAAAAACTACATACCTACTCCCGACCTTTCAGTCACTTTACAGCAACCGTGATCACGGGCAGACGAGATGACATTTATTATTTGAATAATAAGATCTAAAAAACTCACGATTATTTATTTAAATGAAACTAAAATTTTCTTATTATTACGCGTTATTTTATTATTTTTTAAACTTTTCCCCATGTTTCGGTTGCTTTGTAGCAAAGTATTTTATTAATTAAGTAATACAATGATGCGCAGTAGCCTGAAAATATTAGTATCATTTATTATTTGAATATATCTGAGATGTTTTTAATAGAATAGATGGCATTAAGGATTTAAGAATTGTATTGTGATTGGTCAGATGACCACATTATGAACTTTCAACATTAAAAGTCTAGAAAAACTCATTAACTTCTCTCAGTAGACTTATTTTGACTTCTTTCATAAGTCTCTCTGTAATAGTTAAATCTCCAACATTCTCTGTACAAGTCAACACTCTTTTTTAAATATTTTTTAGTGTTTGAATGAAATCCCTTACTAAAAGATTATACCTAAACGCTTTAAGTGCTATAACTTAAGGAAGAATATCTTATAAGTTGTTTTGTTTTCAACACTAATTTTAAATTTATTTTATGACATTTTCTTGCCATAATGATATATGTTGGTTTTCATTGTAGATTTTGTATTAAAATATTTAACGAATTTAGGTTTTTATTATCACTCTTCCCGCTCATGTAACTCACGTTAATCGAAAAGCTGTAACAAATCTTTTCAAAGGGTTTAGTTTACTCACTACAGGCTGATTTTACTTTTGATTTAATTGCAAGCATAGTAACCTTCATTATGAAATAAATACTTAACTTTGATACTAATATAATATAATATAATATAATATAATATAATATAATATAACGGATCATTCAAAATCAAGGCCAACGTACCAGTCGTATTGAACAACAAACATCCGTGGCAATGTAACACGTCTATCAAAGTTCGGAAGGGTACTACACTCAAATACCAATCGACACAACTAGAAGGGCAGTTAACGTCGGACAGGCGACTTCCTTTCCCGAGGGAGCGCGGTTCCACTTCATTCACAGTGGTACTCTACCATCTAGCCAGACAACACGGTGCCAAATAAACTATACGCGAACGAAACTGCTTGACACTATCCGAACTATTCATCCTACCAGATTCAAAACAAAACACCAAAAATTCATTTCAATACTAATCTAGATAAACAGTCAGTAATGTAATTTCAAACTACAGCATTCAATACTGGATGTGTTGACGTTAAAATGGAACGGGACGAGTAACATCAAAAATGAGTAATTCCAACGAGAGGCGGTCTTGTATAAACGGTGCAGTGCAGTGGTGTTTTTGTGTTTTCGCTTTGATCATATGTGGATATAGTTTAGTAAAACAGCAGCGTTTGGAGAACCGTCTGCGACTTCTGGAAATTAGATACGAGAACTTGGAAAACGCTTTCAACTTCCCAGAGCCGAAAGAGGAGTTTTTGAAGCGTGCAACCAGGGATGTCACGGACTGCGTCTGTCCTTCAGGTAGGAGTAACATAAGTTTAACTCGTTGTATACATTTCATGACTTTGCAAATATTATAACGCGAAACTGAAGCAACTTACACGATTAATGAATTTTAATTTATTTTGTATATCGATGTTTAATTGAATATAAAATGACCGATTTCGCCAGCACATAATAGTCCATTTCACTTTAAATTTCATTCCGACAAATGAACGTATTCAAATCCATCGCTTTTCTGAATGTAACGTTGAGTGCTCCCTCAGTCGACTCAATGCGGCAATTAATGAAATTAATTTTGGGTTTGCTCCCAAACACAATCCTCGTCCGCAATTCAGCCGCAACCGGTCACATCAATGAAGACCGACACATTGTATCGTAAATTCGAGCACTTTACAATATCCGGTGATAAACTCAATTGGGACACCACCAAACTATCTCGTACACCAATAAACACCTTATTACGATAACAATAAGAGCTAGAGTAAATCTCTCTGGCTAAGTCTGGTCGAGATCAATGCTTCAAGTCGACGCGAAGAGACAAAATTATGATGGTCTATTGTAGTAAGAAGTAGATCTAATATCTCAACGAAGAGTATTGAAATCATTCATAAAGATAGAGCTCTAGCTGTTAAATCAATCTTTATTGAATTTTAAATCGAGACAGAGGCTGTAGGGCCGTGTGGCGGCGAGGTCGTTGACCCCGGACGGATATTAAAAATGGGCCCTAAATTGGTTCTCAGATTTGTTATCGACGGCATATTGCGTGTTTCCGCCGAACTTCCAATTGGAGCCCAATAAGGTTTCATCAAACTGCCTTTCTGATGTTAATAGATTTCCTCGAGGGTCATCTAAATCAAGATTGATGAAAATTTTATCTAACAAAAGAAAAGGGCGGCGGGAAGTTTTCTTTTTTAAACATCCAGCCGTCAAGTTCGCTAATTACCTCTCATTGTGAGAGCGCGATATAAAGGCTTAATTGTTTGAAGTTCATTGGAAAGTTACTTTAAATCCTGTTTTATCTGAGACGCCCCAAATGAGCTGGAGCCCGTTTTACTGTTTAAGTTAACTGAAAATTTTGTTACAGGACCCTAACAAGACTTTTGTTTATTAGGTCAGATGTTGAAACACTGACCGAAATTATGATCCCAATCACATTATGTATATAGTATATTTAACTTAAGGTTATGGTTAGGACATACTAAGTCATTTAACTTAGTTTTTTTTAGGAGTACATGTTTTTCATGTTTATGTACATGTTTTTTTTATTATTATTGTTAAATATTTCTAACTTTTACCTGGTTCTAGTGGATTAAAAGACACAAAATTATATCGATTCCTGATTTATAGATCTAAAATAGTCTTGAAGTTGATACATATTATATTACATTTTTATTTTATTTATACAAAAGAGTTGTATATAGTATAATATAAAATACAAATAGTAACAAAGTGTGTTGGTAATGATACCGTCGGGTGACATTCACTGTAATTGTTTCATTGAAGTTAGACTGCTTCTTACTTTTATGGTCCAACTTCCTGACGAAATTATTACTTCCTCGTTCCTCTCGTGCACTTCATAGCAGATCACTGCTGAATATTTCTCAAGGGAATACCAGTCTTAAGGTAAGTGAAACAATTGTTTTGGTAAGTTATGAATTTGTATCTTTTGTATGTGGATTCGTCGTCAATGAATAATTTTGTCACCATTACAGTTAAATACAAAACAAAACCAAACCTCAGCTGGCCTCGATCCAAGTTCCATATTCTGATAGATTTATAATACAGGTCACAGTTGACAAACGAGCGATCAAGATACTCGTACTTCTTATAAATTCATCTGTCAACGAACGAATAATGAGATGTCGGAAAGATTAGTGGACGTTATCTCTCAGTTTTTATTTTGATGAGCTCGTTTGTTCCCCGGCACCTGGAATTATTTAGAAGAAATTTTCCTCGTCATTAAATATTAAAGGACGTGTTCAAAAGACATGATTATGGAATAATATTTTCTTTCCTTATTTAGAATTCAAACAAACAAAGACATTTAAAAATAAATATTTTGAACATTTTTAAATTTCTAGGTTTGTCATTGTAACACACGATCCTCTTTCTGTCTGCTCTGTAACATTTTCATTACTGACATGTCTTATAAACTTTTTCTAACAAATTTTAAACTCTATTAAACCCAATCACATCGAAATAATTGTGACGTGCTAAATAAAAAGGAGTGAAAAAGTAAATCAATGTTACATTTATTTACAATCATTTAGATTATGCAAAATTGTTTGCCGAACACTAAAAGGAAACTTATTCTTGATAAGTGAAAAAGTTTAAGCAAAGTAAGTAAAGTCACAGAAAAATGTCCTTTTTGCCAAGAAGGGGACGTTGAACGACCGGTTCATTTACATAAATCAGAGGGTGCTAAGATATAAATCTTAAATATAAACAAGTTCAGATGAAGCCGAAGTCATGAAAAACTTACATTTACGTCAACATTTAAAGTGACGGCTATATAACTCAAGCTGCTTTAGACTTTCCGAAAGGGTAATAAGAATATATTAAAAATACTACGCCTTTATCATTCCTACTATGAAATACTTATTTCTTGGGTAGTTGAGTATAAACGAGATACATTTATCTTAGACATGCTCCCGTTTGCCGCGAGTCTTAAATAATAAACAATAAAATATAATTTTACGAGAAAGACGTAACGAACGGACGGACAGTAGGTTATATATTGTACAGTTAAATGAATAAATGGAGAGCGCGTATGAAACGAGCTCGGAAGGAATTCTTTGAAGCACTACGGATTTGTGCTGGAAGTTTTGGAAGCGAAGCGATTTATTACACTGAGTTCGCTTTATGAAATCAATTTATTTGAAAAGTAGAATTTTACGATATTCATGAAAGTTTTGTAAATAAAATAATATTATTCTATTGATTAATGGACAATGTTTTACTGATTTATTGATTGATTGATCAGTAGGTGAGAAGTTTGACAAACCTCAACATTTGTATTTTGTAAAAATATTGAATTCGTGTAAAGGTGTATAGAAATTCAATTTTCTTGTGACAGTGCGATTAATATAATTATTTTATCATATATTAATAGCAATTTTAATATTTATTTAAGTTGTTTAAAAACTCAGTCTCTTTCTCAATAAAGTTATACATTGTTTGTATGCCTTTCAGCTGATTGTGAAATATAATAGCCCAGTAAAGAAGTAATTTTTCGATACAAACTATAGTTATCCTATATAAATTTTACATTTCTAACATGAAATTTTGAAGCAGAAATAAAATCAAATTTCCAACGTTTCCTTTCGACACTACTCTTGAATAAAGTAAACATTGTGACAAGTGTCGAAGGCAGCCTCGTAACACATACGATAAAGAAAACTATTAGGAGGAAGTACATTTATAAAATGAACCTTATTTTAAAGGTAATAAGGGTTCAATGATTGCCGTTTATAATATCAGCTTCTCATGGAATTTCGATATTGTACATTTCTAAATGAAATGTTTATGTACACTAAACAAACTTTGAGTGAGGGTAGGAGAGATCAAACTTCATTGATTGTTGAAGCAGTACGTACACTGTTTGGAAAACTCTAGTGACATGGGATTTTATATGATTTTATAAGAAGTTTTAGTAGGTACTAATCTAATAATTCATGCGATGAAAGCTTGTGTGTTAGGTGTTTCTTTGTTTTATACAGGGTGACTGGAGAATTACTATCGATATTTGAGGACGTGATATTTGACGATCATATATGACAAAATAAAAATTAATATAACATAAATATTAATAAACTTCTAAGTAAAGTTAACCCAAAGTTATGTAATTAATTACGCATCGTATGAACACCCTACAGATTAGGTATACACACACACACACAGACGCGGCGGCGGCGTAGTGTTGTATCAGCACGCCGCCACACGCGTCCACGCTTGGAACACTTGGAACGTGTACACACTTTATTTATTTATACGGAAATTTGGTCAAAAATTAAGTACCTATTTTTTTTACATAATTCGAATGAGAATCATGTACCGAGTATGCTCCTTAAATATTGATAGTAATTCACCAGTCACCCTGTATACATAATTTACATACGAAACCTGAAATAAGGGTAGTGATAGTGTTTTATTCGCTGAATTGAACCTCAGGAGTGAGTCCCTTTATAACTTGATCCTGTTCCCTAACAGAAGGTATTTATAATTGTGTAACAGGAACTTTTCGGCCAACCTTTTTACCTACTGAGATAGAATTGGAGAGAGCACTCGTTTTAACAATGAATGCTTCATATAATTTTCTATTTCGTTCGCTTCTTTAAAAAATATAAATCTGAATAAGGGCTTTAATATTATGGTCGATGTATAAAAATAAAACATTTAATATTATTATACTTATATTTTGGATTTTTACTTTTAGGATAAATATTAAAAAATATTTTTATTCCATAAAAAGTATTCTACTAAAATTCGTGTTTAAAAGTTATTGTGACTTTTGATTTCATTTGTTCATTTATAATATATAAGAACTATATATAACACTAATGTTTTCAACTCACAACCTGAACTTATTTTTCAAAAGACAAAAGAAAAACTTCTGCGCCACATACATAATTTTGTCTTTGTTAGTCAACTCGATCATTTCAACAAATTAAAACGTGAAATGATAATCATTCTCAAAATACTTTCCGTTTCTTAGTAAGTAACAATCCTATTAATACTGGACCCTCTTCCACTGTTATCAAATTTCTTTTTTTTTGGCGTTTCCTTAACCTTCTTAACTCCTTTGTCTCTTTGTAAATCTAACTTGTGGCAAAACAATTGAATTTAATGGTCGCCCCCAGAGGCGACTGTACTTTGATATTCAATTTACAAACAAAATTAAACCGTTCATATTAAAACAATAATAAGTACCAATATTGTTTATATACGATTTATTAAGACTAGCTTACCCGTGTCTTTCCTTCAATTGATGGACGTAAAAATGAAGTACTTTAAAATTTACCGAAACTATTTTTTGTTACTATAAAGAAAAAATAAAAAATGTGTAAGAATACAAGTGAAACTTACTTTTATTGTATTATTTGTTATAATAATTCTATTAATCAGATAAATCTAATAATTTGATATGAACATCAAAGGGTAATTATATTATGTTGGATGGTAGACTCGCTCCTTGTACAATTAGGTATAACGTTTTACCATAAACCAATTACAATGTAGTTTAAAACGTTTCTTTGGAAACTATAAATATTAATATTTGTATAGAGTTTGTTTTTTTTTGGTTCTGTTATTTTTAAGCTACGGTATTTCTCAAAGAACCATTGTGACTTGTCCTATTTTCTGTCAGATATTTATCATACGCCAAGAACTATCATTAGAATAATTGCTTTTAGGTTTAGAATGGGTAGCTGGATACTAGGCCAATATAAAAAAGACAATTTAGACGGACGCAAAAGTTGACTTGAAATACGAGGGTTCCGTACAAAAAATATTTTAGTGATGACAATTGACTTGTATTAATTCGATTGATAAATTATAAATAAGAAGTTATTGACTGTGTCGAAAATTTTTCAAACGATAAGAATGAGGAACTAGCCTTACTGAAACAAACACCAAAGGACTTATCTACATGTAAATCTTTCAATAAAACAAAAATAATACAAGCGTCAAACAATTCGATTTGATGAAACAAATTAATAAAAGTTATTTCAACTTAAACAGTTTTGAAAATTGATTCTCTTAATTGATGTCAGTTTCATGACATTCGATACAAAGTTATT